TATATGTGTGTGTGTGTGTGTGTGTGTGTGTGTGTGTGTGTGTGTGTGTGTGTGTGTGTGTGTGTGTGTGTATGTGTGTGTGTGTGTGTGTGTGTGTGTGTGTGTGTGTGTGTATTCGTCTTTGCTCTTTTTATAGGTGGAACTGTTCAGTCCTTGCCTCGACCGATATGCACACGAAGAGATTTCGCGTTGGATCATTTAGAATTTTTCTTGTAGTAGATACAGTTGAGTACCGTCTTATTGCTTGCATTTTTAAGTTCTGTAAAGTGGTCTGTTCTGACCTTGTCACTGGAGTTGTTCACAAGATTTAACAGAGGACTAATACTTCTTTACACTAGAGTGCTAGACACTAGTCCAGATATAACTCTCGCGCCATGACTCGCGCTCGTCAAAATTTGAGATGAAACTGGTAAATTAGGTATTCTATATTGAGCCAAAATCCATATCCATGAGAATACACACGTAAGGCTCATAGCGTAAACGTACTCAGTTTTCACGTTTACGAAATAATTTTAAACGTAATTACGCTTTACGGCATGAGACCTGCTCACAGGACTCAGGAGAGTCACGAAACTTACGATGCATATTTTACTATTTTGCTATTTTAAAATAGATCCTGAAGATCATACTACAGCAGTACAGCTATGTTGAATTATTGATTTTGATTCGGTCCCCTCTGTCTCGTTTTTACTTTTTATACAAACCGAAAATAGTTATTTCTCTAGAGAGTCGAGAGTACAAATGGTGAAGTCAAAGAGTATTGGTTCCACGGGCCATGGGACCGTTGTTGCCCCGCGGCCCCCGCCTGCTGGGCCGCTGAGATTGATTTTGTCGTTTTGTCGTATTTTCGTTGACCTTTTTTTTAATATTGTCCGATATTTACAATTATAGAAAATACAGTCACAGAGGAGGTTTTTGTGTGCACCTGCGGTGGGGGCTGTTTACCCTTCTGTTCTAAAATCTATTTGCGTGGGTGCTTGTTTGTGTGTTGATGTTCTTTTCAGAATTAGTGAACTGGTAAAAGACATCGACTTTTTAAAGAATTACACCGGTCACCGGTCTCTATGAGTACGGCGACGTGATGAAGGAATGGCGACCTGATGCTTTTTTTAGTCAGATAATGGCTTTTTTTTCTATATACTACGGCGACATGCCCTTGTCGTATGCCAGGACAGCAAAAGTGTTGATACAGAATTCGCTTGATATGGAAATATGCTAAAAACAAGAGATGATTGGTGCTTTTATATATGTACGATGACAACTCATCAAAATGTGACGAATCGACGACACGTTTGGAGTACCGCCGCCGCGTGGGAGTTTTAGTATCCAAACCAACGTCGTATCAGAAGCACGCTCCGGAGTTTGCCGTTTCGAGAAAAAAATAAATATAAATATGTATACATAATAACTTTCATCAGCCATTCTGTGAGCTACCTACTTTTCTATTTTCGTACAGGCCGTCAGAGTGACCCCGTCTTGCTTACGATCAGCTCTTCTTCGACAATATTAATTTATATAATCTTGTGTCTGTGTCCATTATACTTCAATATTCAGTAAACATTGCAGTTTATTGGAATGCAACCTGTGTATTTATATATTTAGATATATATATACATACATATATATATAATCAAACACAACATAGAAATGCTCAATTTATACAACCATCTACATTTGCAAACGCAAATTTGTTACCCGTTTTTCTGATTTTTTGAAGTATATGGTGTGTAGTGCATATTTCTTAAACACTATAGTGGAGAAGGGGACGGTGGCAATCGCAATTCGCAATCGGCATTCGAAAAGAAGATTCCATATTTAGAGAGTATATTGTTTATTGCACAATCGTTTTGTGTCCTACATACGATCAGAAATGTGGATCTTTTTCTTGTATGAGAATTGTCCTGTCGTACACCTGAAATGACGGAATGTACCCGCGCATCCAAGCGAGTTTGAAGTTTTTGCCTTCGCCCTTCTGGGACATTATTTTTAAAATATGCATTCGGAAGAGCAACGTATCTATTATAAATACATGCAATGCTAATAAATATAAATACAAATCAATAGCCATGAGCCACGACGGAGCTACAATACAGAATACGAGAGGAGGCCTAGTTTATGCCCGCAGCCAGACTTACCTTTTATAGCTGTATCATGCCGTGGAGTAGTACGTTTTTTTGTGATAGAGAGAAAGACCTGCCGAGACTCGAGGCTTGTCACTCAAATTCTAGAGAGTTGAGTATCGACTATCGAGACTATCGAGTATCGAGTATCGACTACGCGTCACATGAACGTGAAATTTCAGTGCACTGCATGTCAATCTCTAAAAAACGATTCGACATTTTATTTCATTTTTAAAAGTTATTCACAATCAGTACTCTCGAGTCTCGACGTCCGAATTTTAGTACATGTCCTACTACAGAATGTACTGAACAACTGATACTACTAAACTATCATCGACAATTGTTCAAAGAATTCTCGATCGTTCAAAATTCCCTCATGTTCTTCCAATCAAGAAGAGAGTGAGCTATTTTATAGCCCCAAAAAGGGTATGGAGGCGCAGCGCTTTGGGTACGATTGGCGTTCTGATGGTTCTGTCAAATATCTTTCATATGGATGACCTATCAGAGAAGGCGCCGAATGTGATTCAACTCTACGACTCTGGCTTTATGTCGCACTTGCTGGCTTGTCAAATCATCAAACCACATCTACATATCTACTAAAGTTTGTTGCTCATCCTATTGCTTTTCCTTCAGCTGTTGGCCTGTTTGAGAAGGCGCTAAGCAAAGTAGAGCATGAAGGCTATTAGCTACCCCCGCAAATGATATTGCACTCGTTGGTGACCGTAGTAAGAAGTTGCTCTACAATAAATAGTAATACTGACCGCGTTCTGAAAAATGAAATGCATCGAAACCTCCGTATGTAGCATATTTACTTGGTGATATTACTAAATCTTTACAGAACTACGCTGTTGATAATCTTGCACAGCATTAACAATATCACCATGTTAAAAACGTTAAACACAGATGGTCTGCATGCCCTGTCACAAAATCCTAAATCCGGTAGCGAATATAGACATGAAGCGGATACAAATTATGCACAATGGGAACCCCAAGTAATGCATAGTACGTTTCTAAGTGAAAGGGCGTGTGAGCAAGCTATACGCACGACTGAGGAAGACATGAATATGGACGAGTCTTTTTACGATGCAGACGATGACGACAATGAATCTCAAGGTTTTGGTGGTCTATATGACTGGGACTTGTTCTTAGAACCACTGGAGCAGGTCGATCATCAATTAAGCATCAAGAAGCGCAACGTACCCTCTGTCGACCTTGTTCCAAATTGGACTGGTGAAAGTCAAGAAAACGAGTTGTTGTGCAACTTAATATCTACAGAGTTGAGCACGGGCAATGCAAATGCAAGAACTGCGGACAAAATGAAACATAACCTTCCCACAGCGGTACCACGTAGAAATAAGTTGTCTCGCTCGCAGCGGAATGCGATGCAAAGGTATGTGTTCGATGTATCCTTGATATATTTATTCTTTTCTTTACTTCAACACAAGCATTGTCAATTTGTTTATGTCAAGACTAAAAAAATTGAGATTACTGATCAGATTTGTTCAAAATTGATCAACATCTTTAGGAGCGAATGGGACTCCAGTCCGATTGGAAGCTTGGGGTCTGGCAAACGATTAGCAAATGTTGGTTCTGCTGTGTCTCTACCGAAACCACAAACTTCCTTCAACCCCGGGGAATGTATATCGAATACTGCAAAAGTCGAAGCCACGCGTAAAAGCATGACACACATGGACGATTCGTACAGTCCTGTCAATAAAACCATGAATTTGGATTTTGAACAAAATCATTTCAACTCTCGCATACAGTCTACGAGGCAAACATCCCAGACATCAAACCAAACCGGTTCAGCAAACAATACAGAAGATTTCAAGAACGCCGACAAAGGTAAGCTCGTTGATCAATCATGATGAATGCACGTATATAACCATACTGATTTAAAAATACTATGCGTATTTGTAAAATTTTGCACTGTGTGACCTGTATTTAAAACTAGTACTTGTGTCAAAATATAGATGCATGGCTCAAACTGTTTTGTAAACGGATATTTACGTTTCTTCGCCCTCCATACAACCCCCATTAGGTTTGCCTTCGAATCAAGGTGGTTCACAAACCCCATCCCAATATCGCTCTGGGCGGACAGCGTACATGCCTAGCAAGACTAGACGGAGTATCAGTACTGCTGATGAGCAAGAAACCGATGATTGGATAAGACAATCCTTAGGTCCACTTGCTGCTCTGCGCGCATCGTCTGCATCACCACGCTCATCACCTTATCCTCAGGCGCATACTATCAAACAACAACAAGTGCCAAAGAACAACTTACATTTACAGCAAATGTACAACATCAATAGCACCACGTCTCGTGCAGTCAATACACACCGCTCAAAAATGTCTCAAAGCCAGCAGCAACAGAAAGCACAAATCGTGTCACCAAGCAGCTACACTCCTCATCTCGCAGCGGCCCCGTCACCCTCCTCGTCGGTCTCTGCGCAAATCGTTCAACCCGGTCAAAAGATAGACCGTAAGATGCGCATGTTTATCGACAACATGCTTTCAACGGCACGTAAGTAATCTTTAATTTCTATTCTTTAAGATAGTGTGTTGTGTTTGTGTATACACTTAAGTCTCATTCTACTCGGATATGGTATGTGTAGTCAATCTTAATCATGATCACAATAACAAAACCCCCAATCAGATCCTCAATCGGAAGCCCTGCCGCCGCCACCTAGGAAACCTTCGCCGATGAAAAAGGTACAGCCCAACGTATCTGATAGTAAAATGCAAAACCAAAGCTCACGTGAAGGTCGAAGCCTTAGCATCACTGATGCAAAATCCGCGATAACCAATCTAACTACTCGCAGCCAACACAATGCCAGCAAGTGGACAATTGAAACGTTGAAGCACTTCTTCTGCCGTGACTTTGTGGAGGTACGTTGTTGGCCATGTACATGTATTGCGATGCATGCACAAATTTTACTCTATTCGATGGGTAATGCAAAACAGTTTCTACTGAAGGCAATCTGTAGATTTCGTATACGCAAAGACTCATATCAGCTTCGTCCTCCGACAGGTCAGTAGTTCACTTACAACACCGGTCTTCACCCGTCAACTAGAAACTCGTGAGAAGGAGCTTTTGAGATTTATGACTGAGATGTCCGTAAACTCGGTTGTTGGAAATTCGTCTACCGTGAGTAGACCAGCCGACCCGGATGCAGCTGACGGGTATGTGGTAGTGTGTGGCTGTGCTTATCAATTCGAGCAAAACAAGTTCTAAAGTGCAAATTTATTCTCATATAGAGAAACTTGATCAAACTCGGACCATCATTTCAAATTACTAACTGAACCTTTCGAAATTATACAGTACGGACAGTGCCGAAAATGGATTAACAAGATTGACAGAAGTGGGACCAGTTCGAGAACCAGAGGTCACCTACGTTATCAACACTCTACTGACATTTGTCGCTTCAAGAGGTAGGTTGATATCATATGATGAGCGAGACAACCCCTATTCTCGTCTAATAATGGACACACATATATCGATTATAGTTTCTGCCACGGCAAACAAGATGACTATTCAGTGGTTTGGAAAAATAACTTACCCTAGTCTCTTCCTTTAAATAGCTGGTGTGCAGGTCATACCAGAGAGGAAATTCGAACGAAGATCGGCTCGTGATGCAAAGGTGTGTAGGGCGGAGTGCATATTGGTCTGTCATTATGGTCTCATAGTCGAGTTTTAAGCTTTTTTTAAGCTTCTCTGATTGACTCTTTTCCATGTTTCACTTCAACAGAATCTACCAGGTTGCATTATTGACTACGCAATAACAAAAAATGGTGTCGTTCTCGGACTGGTGGAATGTAAAAGTAAACGAGAGTTCAGAAAGTAGGTTAAGGACAGAAGGCTTCGCGTGGTCGACTTTGCATGGTTGATCAATTTTTTACCCGGAGACTATCAATTTTTTACCGGGAGACTACTTATAGTCGATCAATTTTTTACTTCACTGCTGTTCGTGCAAATTACTAATTGTGATCACTCCCATATCGCAGAGACGCTTTTGGACATATGGTAGCTGAGCTATTGGTGTTGCAGGATCGCGCGGGCACACCTGATGTCCCTATTTTTGGTATACTCACAGATGGGTTCCGGTGGGTATTTGCGGTCGTGAAAGGCACAGAGTTGCATTTGGAGCACGAGTACAACAATGGTTCCGTGATTAAAGTCAGAAGAGCTTTGCGCTGGAAAGATCTGAATCAAATCACTGAGGATATGACAGCACTGATAGGGGAAAGTACTCGCGTCTTTGATGAAATCGTCAGACTTGGAGCGCATAAATAGGTATTAGAATTCGAGATCAGCACCTCTCAATGTACGAATATGGTCGCAACCTAGTGCTTGCGACTCTGTGAGCCAGCAAGAAAAATGATACAAAGGCACTATAGATATGCCACACAGTAAAATTGAACTACACAATGCGAACGTGCAGTATATAACGAGTATATAATTTGTACTTGATTGATTATATGTTAACATTACATATGGTGCCCGTGCATTGGAATCGGATAGTTTTAAAGTACATTGAATATGCTTGCATCGTGAAATCGGATAGTGGGAAAGAATACCGAATATGCTTCCATGAATACGAACCTCGATTCGCCAAGCATGTACGATAGTACTTCAAAAATTACGCGTGTACATAGGCGGGTAACCGGCAAATACATCCCTCTCTAAATAAATAAATATTGAAAACTGGCCGGTTTCGGGTTTCTATACTTTCTCGGTACATATTTATTTCTGAAATGCATTCGTATACACATATTTTTTTTAAATACTTTCAAATAGAGGTTCTACATATTCAAAAACAAAATTTGAATGGCAGCAGTCGGATATAGTAATAATTTCTCTCACCACTATTCGCTCAGCTGTCCGAAAATACGGCTGCCAAGCAGTTAGTGCTCTCACTTACTAAACTCGCTGAAGATGCTTCGACGTAAATCCACGATGATAGGAATGACCGTTCAAGACATCGAGGAGTTCAAACAGGTATATACACAACGTGCGATGACGTCGTGCACGTTCGAGAATGAAATGTCTTCTACTTTGATTGTAAGCTATATCGTCTGAAATACTTTTATCTCGCACAGATTTTAGCAATTTTTATGATATGTATCTTGTATATTATCAATAAGGATACATTTCTGTAAACACTGTTCGTACTCAATTTTACTCACACACACACAC